TAGAGGGTAAGGCAAGAGAAAGGCAAGGAAAGAGGTGTGGGAATTGGATGCGCAGGTTAAAGTAAAAGTAGGTACACACTCCATAGAGTGCAGGCCATCTCCAAAGAGGAGGGAGTGAAAAAGACCACTACGTGTGGTGGTGTCAGTTTTTATGAGCTCAGTAGCTCCACAGGCCTATAGGTGGGACCATTCCAGCTGCCCTGGGGAAGGGGTTGAGAGTCCCAGGAATTGGGCCATCACCCATTCTTTGACCTTTTGCGGTCATGGCCTTGGGGCTGTCATGGTGCCTGCGGCATGTTATTTGATCACGCTGTTACAATGAGCATATAATGAAGTTCAAGGTCTACTAGAAGTCAAACCTCTTAATCCTCAAGGCCAACTAGGAGGTGAATCTTCCACCATTTTGGTGAATCTTCCACCATTTTAGTGTTAAATTGCTGTCATTGCTTGAGTGGCCGTACCCTTCCCTCTTCCAGCCAGTCTCACAAGTAGGGAGAACACCAAGGAACTTTCCCAAAGCAAGGTGTTTCTAGAAGTACCAGGGATTGAACCTAGGACCTTGCGTATGCTAAGCAGGCACTCTACCACTGAGCTATATCCCTCCCTCCCACACTGGGGACATTTTAAGCTGTGGGTACATGCATATTCATGAACAGGGCTTGCGTGGTAGGCAAAGTCCAAGCTTTAGTTGATCTAAGTCAGGAGGGTCAGAAAAGGTCAACATCATCTTCCCTTAGATTCCAGTTGATCTGGTGGTTGAGGGCCTGAGGGGGGATTTAAATTATGCAGAACAGCTTGAGACAGTGCTTTAGGCTAGTCTTCACCATTGAAAGAGAACTGGCAGTCTTTACAACTGATTTGTTATCTTTGCTATTTTTACTTCTCTTGCTTGATAAGTTTGTCCTTTTGTTCTCTTAAGATCGTTATACTGAGACTTGTTCAAGGGCAAGCTGTTGTGGCTTAGGCCAAAATGGCTTCTCTTATGTCAAGCAAGCCATACCTGGTTCTCTTTCCCCAAGGGATTCCTCCAACCCCATCTGCTTACAGCATGGATTCAAGGATTCTCTATACCTACTGTCTGGTCTTTTTGCCATTGCCCGGGCCCCAAAGACAGTTCAGTCACACTGATCACAGTGGTCTTCTCCTCGCTGACTCTGGGATGGAGACACTTCAGGAGACCTGGTTTAGGAAGCTATGGTACAAACATCCTCTCTTCTGCAAAGGAATATTAACACAAACCCGTACAAATTCTAGAAAATGAGATTCCTAGCATCATGAGGGATTCTAGAACCCTGGAATGAATATCAGGAAACACCTCTCCCTTGAGCCCTGCTAAAAGACAAAATTCAATCAAATAAATTTGAAGATCCAATTGGTTTTATTTAGCAATTCATGAATCTGGCAGTGTCCCACTTAGCAATAGAATGGTGCTCCAAGGGGGTTGAAGCTTTTATAGGCAGGAGGGTGGGGCAAGAAGGTATTAACAAAAGAAAATAAAAGGTTATTTTTAAGCCAAGACTTCAACTTTTTTGGGTGGGGCAAGGACCCGCAAGGGTTTCTCGTGCAGATTGCTTCTTCCTCTGGGTGGGGTAGGGACGGGGTGGAGAGGGCCCATGTGACAGATTACCTTTGTGGTGCTTGACCAGAGCATTCCAGTCTGGCCTATGAAGATTACATTTCTGGGAAAGGTTGAGACTGCAGTTAGACCTGGTATTAAATCTAGATTTGATATCATGGGCTTTAGCATGAGTGACACCATTTTGGGCCCATGGTTTTCTTTTTAACAACCCTCTCTTTGAAAAATGTTAGAAAAATTGGTCTTGAGCACACATCAGGCTTATTGTCTTGCTAACAAAGGGACCTGCAAAGTGACCAAGAATCTGCTGGTTCCAAGACGGATGGAAATAGAGGAATTTCATTGCCAAGAAACTTACATATGCAGCTATGAAAGCGTTATTCCAGAAGTGGAATTGCTGGATCTCCTGGTAATTCTGTTTAGTTTTTAAAGGAACCACCATGCTGTTTTCCATACCCGCTGCACCTTTATCCATTCCAACCAATGGTCTTCAACTTCTCAGCATCCTCGCCAACATTTGTTTCTTTTGTTTTTTAATAGTAGTAATGGATGTGAAGTGGTACCTCCTTGTGAGCAGCCAGTTTTAATAATCAGCTAATTAGGTCAAGATGGAAGTTTTACTTCATTAAGTCATAAAAACTCATATCCAAATCAGTTGTTACAGAGACTAGATAAAGACAGGTCCCAGATAATAGGTGTGCTATTTACCCATCAGGGGAAAAAAAAACTAAGAAGCTAATGATGAGGCAGAGAGGATATATCTCAGGGATATGCATGCTTAGCACTCACTAGGTCCTGGGTTCAATCCCCTAGTCCCTCCGTAAAAATAATTAGATAAATAAATAAATACGTAAACCTAATTACCTCCCCTCCCCCCAAGAAAATTAAAAAAAAAAGAAGCAAATGATGAGAGTACATTGTGGCTGGCCATTGTTCGTGTCCCCACAGCAACATGCACGAAGCACGCTGAAGTCCCATGAGGGCACTGGGCGACAGTCCTAATTGTCACAGGCCACTCGCTGCCCTGGTTTCCTGCTGCCACTGCAGAATGCTCACTTCTTAGCTTAGGGACGTAGCCTTTTTCCCTGGCACTCTTTTAAAAGCCCTTTTTTTTTCTACACTGACTGGTAGAAGTTCTTTATGTGTTCTGGATACATGTTCTTAGTGGGACTTTTTTGGAGGGGCAGGTAATTAGGTTAATTAATTAATTAATTAATGGAGGTACTGGGGATTGAACCCAGGACCTCGTGCATGCTAAGCACAGGCTCTACCACTGAGCTCTACCCTCTCCACTCCTTGGCAATCTGTGAAGGGTCTCGTCACTGATCATGTAATGACCTTTTTCCTAAGAGCCCATCGGTTTATGGACTCCTTCCGCTCAGTCAGAGCTGTGGCCTCAGGTGTGTGTGCTGTGACAGTCCCGAGCCTCTCTTGGGAGTGGGACTTGCTTCCCGCCCCAATTTTATTTTCTCCCTCTCCCTGAAGATAAGAAGGTCTGTGTGTTTTCCGTGTACGATCACTGTTGGCCGAGCTCTGGGAAACCAGTTATAGACGGCCTGTGTGGATGGGGGTCAGGTGATGGTTGAGGCAGAGGAGCAGTGCAGAGGCGGTGATGGAGAAGGCCTCTGCTTTCAGGAGAGGCTGATCTGGTAGGCTGGTCAGGGCTGATGGACGAGACAGCCCGGGTGGCCGGGGTGGAAGGCTGGGCCTCTGGGAAGGGGTGGAAGGAACGGAAGGCGTCAGAGTCGAGCTGGGGGAAAGGCAGGTGTCTCTTGTCCTTGCTGTGCAGGGAGAGGGCCCTGGCCCTCCAGGGAGGTGCGCGGGTGACTGGGACAGGGCTGCCGGGGGAGCCTGGAGGGGGCCTGGGCGTCCTAGGCAGATCAGCCTGTCCGTGGGGTGTTTGTGAGGTGGCGGTGGTGAGGGTATGTGGAGGGAAGAGCTGGACATATTTGGCTGGTTTCTACATGTAACTTCTCTTTCCTCTCAGGTTCCTGGGGGAAGCCAAGGTCCCACTCCGGGAGGTCCTTGCCACCCCCAGTCTGTCTGCCAGCTTCAATGCCCCCCTGCTGGACACCAAGAAGCAGCCCACAGGGGTAAGTGTCCACCGGCCTCTGCATCAGGCCAGGTCCTGTCTGAGACCTTGCCTTTCTGACCTCCGTGGTATCTCAGAGTCCGGCTCCCAGCAGCCAGGCCTGGCCTGCCCTGGCCAGAGCACAGGGTGCCTGGGAGGGCTCGGGGGGTGGACAGGATGGGAGGGGAGGGAGTCCGGCCCCAAATACAGGGCTGCAGTCAGCTTGCCTTTGGGTCACCTCCTGGGATTGATCTTTCACTAGAAATCCGTTGTCTTCTCAGGCTTCCTGGCAGCCTTGGTTATGACCCCCCAGTCTCCCTGGTAGTCTGTCCATGCAGCCAGTGCCCCTCTCCAGGTCTGGAATATCTGAGTCATCTGGGTCACAGAACACACAGGAAGGAGACAGACATTCCCCTCCCTGGCCCACCAGGACCTGTCAGACCCCCTTCCCTTCCTCCATTGTCCTTCCCGCTCCTCCCCCAGCTCCGAGTAGTCTCCCAGTCCTCCCAGACAATTCCCAGCCCTCATCTCTGGCCTCCCGTTATTTTTAGTGAGCTAAATATACCCTGTGGGGTTCTTTCTTCATGGTCAGTAAAATTCCTGACCTTCCTTCTGGGTCAGCCCCACCTCCCAGGATGCATGGGTTGGGGGGACTATTGATCTGGAAACACTTCCCAGTGGGACCCAGGGGAGTCTCTCGGACAGAGTGCAGCTACCTTGCCCTGTGGAGTGGTGTGTGTGTGTGTGCGCGCGTGTGTGTGTGGCTGGGGGCTCTTCTTGGCTGGCTTGGACGTGGCCAGTCTGGGCAGAGCTCTGAATGGAACCACTACTGGGTACTGTGAGCAGGAGAAAGAGAGTGACTGACTGAAGTCACACAGTGAATCTGTGTCCAAATGGGGACCCAAATCAGGGGGTGCATCTCCTGAGCTCTCAGGGATGAAAGGGACTTGAATGAATGGACCCCTGGTTCACTGCCCTTCAGATGCTGGAATTTTCTCCTAAGGTGGCTTTGACCAGTGATGGCCAGGATGCTTTCTTGATGGGGAAATGCTACTTCTCAGAGAATCCACCCCTTGCTCAGACAGCGCTCACTGGCAGAGCGTTCTGGGTCAGTGCAGAGTTCACCGAGGCTGTCTCCATCACCTCCTGAACCCCTCTGGTCCTCCCTTTGAACCCTTCAGTCTCCTAATGCTCCGGCAGTCGAGAAGGGCTCCAAGGACTCTGAAGAGGACCAGAGCTGGCTGCAAAGATGTAGAGCACTAATCGGGGAGTGGCAGGTGTCAGGGAAGCTGGTGGAAGACGTGTTTTGCTTGGTGCTCCTCCACTGCATCTCTGGGATGGGGCTGCCTACTTTGTAGCGTGTCGGATCCCCGGTGCCTCCAACCAGGGTTTCTCGCTTCCTGGCTGAGCTGCTCAAACGTCTCTTCCCTCTAGCCCTGCATGCACCCAGGGCACTGATGTTTCCTGCCTGGCCTCCTGCACTTGCTCCCCTCCAAGCGCCAAGACCCATCCAGCCCCTAAGACACATGCCCAGGCACCCTCCCTGGATGCCTCACCTCTCCTCCCCTCTCTCTTCATGCCCACGCTCTGTCTGCGCTTCCTGCGCACCAGCTGGGAGCCTGCTTCCTTCTCTTCCCTGGGCTGAGACCCCTGGCTGTCCAAAGAATCTGCCACTCCTTCACAAACCATGCCTCCAAGAAGAGGGGCTGAGGGCCAGAAGTTGACGGATAGGAGAGGAGGGCTGGGTCCTGCCAGATGTAGCCTCAGCTGAGCACGCAGTGCGGGAGGCGGGGTAAAGTAGGTTTCTGGACTTACCTCCAAAGTGTGTGTGTGTGTGTGTGTGTGGTTTCCCTGCACCAACAAACAATGCCCCAGACACCAGCGGAGTGGCCTACACTTCAACTCAATTCCGACACTGTCTACCCGGCGACAGCATCAGATTCCACAGATTAAGGGCCCAGTCCTGTAAGACCGTCCCCTCAGCCCCCTTCAGACAGCAGCCACAAGCCCAGGCGACTGCCTGTCCTTCTGATCAACTGGCTATAGATCAGGGATTCCCAAGACTTCCTCCTCAGCTGATTTGCTAGAGCAGTTCACAGAACTCAGAGAAACATTTTACTTCCTAGATTATCGGTTTATTATGAAAGGATCTAACTCAAGAATAGCCGGATAGAAGAGACTCACAGGGCCAGACTCAGAGGCACAGAGCTCCCACACCCTCCCCAGGAGCGCCACGCTCCACGAGTCCACCAGCCCGGAAGCTGTCTGAAACACATCCTTTTGGGGTTTTATGGAAGCGTCATTACATAGACGTGACTGATGAAGTCACTGACCAGGGCTGATTGATTCAGCCTCCAGCTCCTCTCCCATCCATACCTGGAGGGTGGCAGGTGGGACTGAAGATACATACCTCTAATCACATGGTTGGACCTCCTGGCAACCAGCTCCAGCATTAGGTGGGGTCTGAAAGTTACCTTATTAACATAACAAGAGACACCTTTGTCACTCTCAACACTTGGGATATTCCAAAGGTTTTGGGAGCTGTGAGCCAGGAACTGCGGACAAAGACCACATACACATGAACATCGTATTTTGGTCATCTGAATGACCAAATATGCATTTCATATATATCAGTATTGCATGGGACCTCCTCCCTGCAGCCCAGGAGGTAGCTCTGGCCTGCGGAGGGGGTCTAGGGCCGTCTTCTAGTCCCTGTGACAGCACTAAGTCACACTGCAGCCCCAGGCAGGTCCCAAGACCCTCAGTGCTGGGGCTTCCTGCCTGGGACCTGGGGTGGGTTGCACGGCAGTGTGAGGCACGGAGTGCCGGGCATGTGCTCAGAAAGGACAGGGAGCCCTATCGGCAGCTGTGGAGTCTCACTGACCACTTACTTGAGGCCGATTTCTGGGCGACACCTGGTGGTGGTTCAGGAACCTGCATGGCTGTATAGGACAATGCCTTGAATTTGGGACTTAGAGGATCTCATTGCCATCCCCGGCCTCTTCCTAGGTCTTCTGGGATGGGGAGCTAGCTCCAGCCTCCTTCTTCATTGTACTGAGCACCCCTCCACCCTCACCACACACACACACCCCGGCCCTGCCCTCCCTTAGCCTGGCTGCCCTAGCCCAGGCCCCAACCTGGAGGGTTCGAACTCCAGAGCTGGATGCATCCAGGACCTCGAGCTATTTCCATCTCAGGACCAGGATTCACTCCAGGAGTTTCTCAACATCCCCAGTATTACTCAACAGAGATAAATGTCTAGTGAATTATGCTGAGTTGCCCAGAATATAATGGTTATGTTAATAAAGGGTTTATCAAAATTTGGGGAAATACTTATAAAATATTAAGTAAATTATTAAGTAAAAGAAAAGCATTTGATGTTCAGCAGAACTGTACAGTATTTATTTAAAAAGATTGGAGAGAATTATATCAAAACATGAATAGTGGTGAAATTATAGCAATGAGTTTTCTTTTGCATTTTTTTCTTTAAGGTTTTTGTAATTTCCACACTTTCTTACTTTGGAGTTTTTGTTACTTTGATCAATAAAAAGGTAGCCCCAGAAGGCCTGCTGGACTTGTGGGACCAGGGAAAGCTCGGCCACGCCCCCACGGGCCTGGGAGCAGCGAGGCAGGAGGGCCTGCCTTGGCTGTGCCTTTTCTTCAGGCCTAAGTGCCCCTTTGAACAGTGCCGGTCTCCTGGTGGGCTCGGGTCGGGTGGGAGCATAAGGGTGTCTTCTCTGTCCGTGTGAATGGCGTGACTGGTTACTCTCCTCTTGCTGGTCAAAGCCAGAGCAGCTGGGGGTGAGACGGGGGACAGGGGCGATTCTGGGAGGGAAGAGGTCTCAGAAGGGTGAGCAGTACCCTGAGACCCTCTCAGTGCTAGCTGGGGCCCGAGCAGAGCAAGGCTGAGCTGTCTGTGGGGAAATGGGAGGGCCTTTGGCTGAACAGAGTGGCCAAGGGGTTTTTTTCCTGCAGATGGGCCTAGGCTGAGAGTTGAAAAATCCTGCAGGCAAGTTTCCATCATTGATTCACTTATAGAAGCTTACTATGCATTCTTTCAACTAATTTAATGCTCATTTGACCCTATAAGGAAGATGCTATGCTATCACTACGCCCATTTTACAGATGAGGAAACTGAAGCACACAGATAGGTTACAGACCTTGCCAAAGTCACATAGCTTCTGAGTGGTGGAACTTGATTGTAGATTCGGGGCCCTTACCGCCTATGTTGATGGGCCCCTAGTGGTGGCTTTGCCACAACCTCCTGCAACCCAGACCTCTTCCTTGGTGGAGGGATGAAAGGAACAGGAAGGATGCTGGAGGGCAGTGGTCAGAGGCCAACATCCTAACCTGCTGCCTTCTCACTCCCCATCTCTTCCAGGCCTCACTGGTCCTGCAAGTGTCCTATACGCCGCTCCCTGGAGCCGCGCCCATGTTCGCACCATCTGTGCCTCTGGAACCCTCCCCAACTCTGCCCGACATGGATATGGTGGCTGGTGAGCCCACCTTCGCCCTGGCAGGGCCTGGGGGAGGAAGCCCAGCAGTGGGCCCCAAGCCTGGGGATGAGGGGCCTTCCTCAGATCAGGGGCTGCCCGGGCCTGGAGAAGAGAGGGAGTGGGTGAATGGGGAGTCTTGAGAGCTGACTTCTGCCGTGCACAAAGCAGGGGCAGGAGGCAGGCTCCCCTAGGTGCTGCAAGGATCAGTGTGAGGACGCCCTGCCAGCACCAGCTGTTCAGGGAAGGGGCTGGGTGCCTGGTACTCTGCAGCTCCAGATGGCTGGGAGCTTTAGAGGACATGCCTGTGCTGGGGACGGGGTCTCTCCCAGGTAATGCCTGGGGCCCCACCTGCTCCCCAGAACTGAATGCTTCCCTGCCTGGGTACTCTGCAGGCCTTTAGTGACGGCATGTGACAAAGAGCTCGATTTTCCCTGAAGGAGCTCTGGGCTGAAGTCAGGGGACATGAGTTCCAGGCTTGTCTTTGACACCAAGTAGCCATGTGACTTTGGGCCAGTCCCTCCTTCTCTGGGCCTGCAGTTTATCATCAGTGAAGTGAGCAGACTGAATTGGCTAAGTCTCATGGTTGCCTCAATCCCTTTACTTCCCTCTCCTGGCCCTGTGAAGTGAGGACCAAGCCCAGGGTGGCTGTTCCGCCAGTGGTGGGTTGGTGAGGCCTCCATGTGGTCCAGTCTGCTGGAGTGGACAGGAAGTGATGGGCCAGGTGGGGACTTGCCAGTGGGAAAGATTCCAGAGTTTCTCTCATGGTGAAGGGGCTAGAGGCAGACACCGATTAAACCCCGCCGCCTGTCTCAGTCGTGCCCTGAGTCCATCCCTGGCCCCTACTGGGACTTCTGGTGAGGGAGGCAGAACAGGGCCCATCTGGGTGGGACTTGGCACTGTCTGAGCTTGAAGGTGGGGAGATCCCTCTGGACTGGGGTTGAGGGGGGAAGATGAGGTGTTTCTGGTGACGGAGAGGGTGGGGAGGCTGAGGGCCCTGAATGTTCTGGGACCACTTTTGAGGTGGATCTGACGGAGTTAGGATCGGCCGCTCAGGGAAGCTTCTAGTGGTGAGCAGCTCCCAGTCCTGCCCAGAAGATGGTGAGAAGGATAGGCCCCGACAGACTCGGAAATGGTTTCTGAGCTTCGCACCAGGCTGGGGCAGGCGGGGAGAGCAGGATCGAGGTCTCAGACCCGAGGTTGGCTTCCCTCACCCAGCTCCCTCCTCCCTTCCTGGGCCTGTGCCCTGCCCATGTGCCAGGTGGGGGACAGAGCCGGGCCGAGACTTGGTCCCTGCTCAGTGACAGCACCGTGGACACGAGATACTCTGGAAAGAAGTGGCTGGCCCCCACGGGTGAGACACGGGCCGGGCTGTCCTGATCCTACCACCTGTAACCGGCTCCCATGTGGCCACCGTCAGCTCCTGAGAGTGGAACTAGTGGCTCATCCGGCAGGATAGGATGGGGAGGGCAAGGGCCATTCTGTTTCCTTCCTGCTGACTAACTGGACTGACCACCCTCACGTTTCAGCTGTTGGAAGCTCCTCCTCTTCTCCCTCATCCATCCTGGCTGACTGGTGGGGAAAAAGAGGGGCAGGGGACATGGGTGCTGGGCCTTCGGGTCCTCGGTCGGCTGGGCTGGGACCCAGCCTCATTAGCACCCTCTCCTCCAGACACAGGAGGAGAGGAGGACACTGAGGACCAGGGGCTCACAGGAGACGAGGCCGAGCCATTCCTGGACCAGAGCGGAGCTACAGGCCCAGGGGCTCCCATCACCCCAAAGAAGCCGCCTTCCCATCCTCCCCCTTACCACCCTGGGGGAAGAAAGAAGAGGAGCACGCCCACGCCCAGAAAGCTGCTGTCGGACAAACCGCAGGACTTCCAGGTGACCACCGTCTCCTCCTTTAGCCCAGCAGCCGCTGATGCTGGCACCTGCCTGTCTGTCCAGCCTTGGGGCAGGTCCTGAGGGCTTTCCTAGGTGGGATCTGGTTTCCCTGGGTCCTGGGCAAGTGCTCGATAGGGAGTCTGTGTCTTGGGGCCTTCAGGAAAAGCCTCTGCCCAGCCTGTGGTTTTGCTCTTAAAAAAAAAAAAAAAGTGAGGGGAGGGGTCACTGCCAGAGTCAGCATCACTGCCGCTGATACCTGTGTTCCCAGCCACAGTTCATCTAGCCGGCCAGCTCTGTGCTTTTCAAAGTGTGATGCTGGGGCCAGCAGCCTGGAAAGGCAGGATCTTGGGCTTGTCCCTAAACCCACTGAAAAAGAATCTGCATTTGAACAAGATCCCCAAATCTGAGAAACTCTGCTTTTTTTTTTCTCCCTCTAGTCATTCCTCTGTTTACATTCATGATTTTTCTGTATGTCATGTGGAATTTGAATTTGTTCAAGCTCCTCACAGAGTGAAACTATTAATATTAACCCTTTGACATATTTTTTCATCCAAAAATCTATCCCATTTAATTTGCCTTTTAATTTTGGTCTTTTGCTAATTCTTTTTCTTTTCTGTTTTGATGTAATTGGATTTACTGATATTTAACTCTTCAGAATGACTTTTAAAATTAAAAACAGGAAGCTTAAATATTTATTTATTCAATGCAACAAATTGTAAAAATATATTTCAGTTCTAAACCATGATAATTTAAGCAAAAGTTCTACTTATAATCACTATGTTTGGCTGAAAGACAAAATTCTAACTTATTTTTATCATTATTTGCAAGATGTTCTTACATTTTTCTCCTTAGAAAATTAATATGTATTCTTTGGTAGAAAATTTGGAAAATACTATACAATGAAGAGAATAAAAGTCACTCATGCCCCCTTTCCCATTGCTATTGAAAATGTATTCTTCTACAGTATGCTATTTTTAAAAAAGAATTTAAAAATATTTAAAAATATTTTGCCCAAATTTGGAAGCACAGATGTTCCTGAAACTTTTATTTACTTAAAGTTCAAAGAAGAAAGCTCAATTTATTTCTCAGAATGTGAGATATTCTGTGTTGCGTCTTTTGCTGTATAAGAATAAAGTGCGGTTACGTCACTACGTAATTTTGACCTCTGAGTGAATTGTCAGTGAGGACACTGACACTCAAACAGAAACATCAGCATCAAGGAGTCTGAGGTGGGGCTGAGGAGTTGAACCGGGGCTGGATCCTCAGCCCAGCCCTGGGGTTTAAGGCTGGCAGCTTCCTTGGGGGCAGCCTGGCAGCTCTTATGTGGAACCATGGGATTTTATAGATGCGAGGGACCTTGGTGGGAGAAGGTTGTTCTTCCAGTGTTCCTCCTAATTCCTTTTTAATACCTGTCCCAAGGAGCCAGCAGTGAGAGTGGTCCTGAGATTTCTGACTGTCTCGCGTTGAGGGGATGGGCGCCTGACTGCTTCCCCTTCCTCCTGCTCATGCCTCCTTCTGGCTTTCAGATCAGGGTCCAGGTGATCGAGGGACGCCAGCTGCCAGGGGTGAACATCAAGCCTGTGGTCAAGGTCACCGCTGCTGGGCAGACCAAGCGGACGCGAATCCACAAGGGAAACAGCCCCCTTTTCAATGAGGTGGGAGACCCTGGGTTGGGGCTAGGACCTTGGTGGGTCTTCCAAACTGGGAGCGCACAGCAGACGCCTGGCAATTCATCCAGTGTTTGCTTATGGTGCTAACGCTGGGTCAAGAGCTGTGCCAGGTCCTGAGTAGGTTATCTGAGGAACTGGAGAGAGGGCTCCTGCTCTTACTCCTGCCGTGGGCTCCTGCTCTTACTCTTGCCATGGGCTCCCTCTGCTCCATATCCGCATCATCCTTTTAGGCCAGCTGTCCACTCTGTCCCTGAGGTGACAGCCTCCATGAGGTCGAATCCCCACTTGCTGTGTGGACCAGACCTGGAGGCTGGGCGGTGGCCGCCCCTCTCCCCTCCCAGAGTCAATGGGCCTTCATTTGTCTCCCTTTCGCCCTGAACCAACAGACTCTTTTCTTCAATGTGTTTGACTCTCCCGCGGAGCTGTTTGATGAGCCCATCTTCATCACGGTATGTGTCAGCGCCCGGAGGCGCTTTGTGGGCTCTGTGTG